CTCCCTCGTGTAGCGGATATAGCGACAAGGAGATACGACAACGGAACTTGAATATTACTGACGAAATATATACTGTATATGGAACACAAAGTAAATACCAGTTTAAAAAATGGTACAGCCATAAAAAAAAACTCTTTGTCAATTATTGGGTGTACTGCTAACAGGGTTGCTAAAATTCCAAGTATTATTTATGCTTTATATTAATTTAACTTAATTAATAAAAGGAAAGAGCGGATTCTTCGAAGTAATTGGTGAACATTCTAAATTCTGTTTTTTGAGAAAATTCTGCTGTTTATTCAATATTATTAGACTGACATTAGTTTAAATAACTTCTATAAAGTTAACGCGTCTGTACTATGGTGTATATTTTTTTAAATATATTTTGTATTTTGTTGTTGTTTTTATGTTTAATGTAGCTAGACAAGACATTCATTGTTGTGACAAAATAAGCTACATAAAGTTCTTGTTTTTATCCCTTTTTTAATTTTCAAGATAAATATATTAAATTATATAATTTTATTCATTTATATAAATTTATTTAATTTCCCTAAACAATCATGACTCTCATGAGAGTTACTGGTCGAGAAATGTTATTCGAATTCTAGGAAAGGTAATCTGATGAACTAGTTAATGTATTTTACCTTTAATTTAACACATATTGCTGTTGTGTTTATTTTAGAATTTATTTATATAAAAGAAAGCAGAAGACTTAATATACATATAGGGTTAAATTTATATTTAACCTACAAGTTAAGAGTTTAAGTGAGAATAACTTGAACTGTCAAAAAAATAAAATATTTAAAACAATATACCATTACAGTGAGGTGGGTGCCACTGTAAGGGTGTTTCACACATGCTATTTTCACACACTTATCTGTTGGAGCGTGAACACCCAACGACTTCCCAACGACTAACGATCACGCTCCGATACGTAACAGACGTCGCTAAAATTTCGCTGATGCTGTTCCACCCGAAAACAGAACTTAATTTTAGAAGGTTACAGTTGATTTTTGATGTCACGGGTGATTAAACACTGGAGATTATATCAAAGAGACAGATCGTCGTGCTGTGTATTACTCGGAACGGTTTTTTAGTTTATTTTAGATCTTCAAATTCAGTGATGTGTAATGGAAGCGAATAAGGGAAATCTCTAGGTCCTTTTACAGTCCGATCAAGCAGAAGGGTTAAAGAAAATATTTGTGGAACGGTCCCGATGAACAGTAATTTGACAAAATTTTGTAGCATTACTCTATTTGCAGATTTGTATACAAATGGTTAAGAATATCAGCAAGTTTTATAGAAAATACATTAATGTGTTATCTTGGTTGAACGCAATACTATTTTTTAGATAACTGAACAGTTTTTGACTTCAAGAATTTATCTTACCATTAGTTTGAATATTATCAATTTGCTTCTTGCCTCTGCATATAAAGTTCACGGGCCAAGTTTTTCTAGTTCCCCCCGATTCACTCGTTTCCCCTGGAAACTTCGATTTGCATTTCTTTTGAATTTGAAAACTTGACTTCTATAAATAATTTAACGCCTTTTTATTATAAGAAATTTAAAAAGAAAATTTATATTACTTTGTAATAAGAAATGAAAGCTTCACAGCTTCATGAAGAACCACTTTGAAGTGTATTGTAAGCCTTTCAGATATTATTTTTTATATCTTACCACTTTTCTTTATTTAACAGTCCTTCTTTATAACAAAATGGACACGAGAAATAATATATTCGGTCCAAAACCTTTAATTCGTAGAATATTTTGAATAATGAAACGATTATTATGAGCAAATTTATTATTAAATTTATAAATGAAAATAAAATTATACAACATATACATACTTCTACATTTTATTAAGAATGGAGAAACGTTTTCATTATGCTAAATGAAAGTCAAAAATAATTTTCTTGACCTAAAGAAATAGATGAGAAAATTTGTTTGCGACAAATTTTTCCTCAATAAAACAAGCTCTTTACAATCTGCATTTGAATTCAGCAAATCAACAATTTATTTGTGTTTTTTCATTTCAATGTGAGTAATGAAAATTTTGCAGATCACTCTATTGTAAACACTATAAATTATCAGTAATTTTATACGTGTGGTTAAGTTTAACTAGTTGGCAGCACTTTTTAATTCGATCTTAGGAGCAAGATTTTCTATACTTTTAAATCTTTGACTACAAAATAAAGTCACTATCAAATAAATAAATTGATGTCTTAATTAGTTACGAACACAATACAAATCATACATAACAATTGTTACGATAGCATAAAGTTTGTACTTTAACACATAAAAATGACTAATTTATTCCAGTGTCAAAATACTTGTTAAAATATATATATTCAGATGTATATGTCTATCTTTTAAGATTAACTCACAAAAACCGTTTTTATGGTACCTAATTTGGTCGAAATAATTTGTTTAAGTTGTATCAACATAATAATATTAATCTTTATTCAAATAAACAAATAAATATGTTGTTGGTTAAGAGTACTTCATTGTGAATAAAAAAAACATAGGTTTTATCCTGAAAATTCTACGGGAACTCGACCATTCCGAAAACCCCGCAAGAACGGGATCTATGTGGGAAGAACCAAAAATCTGCCGGAAGTTACTATTCCACGCAGACGAAGTCGCGGCAAAAGCTAGTCATCAATAATAGTATATATACGATGCATGTAGTGTATGTATTAAGTATTGTCATCACGTCCTGGTTCCACTTTTTAAGATGAAGACCGTTGATTCTTCGTTGAATTAGCATTGCTATTGGAACATTAAATGTGATCATCTCATCTCTTCTCAACGTGGACGTGATCTTCGACAGAATTTACTATGTATTATGTACTCTTAACTGCATTTTATGGTACTAGTTATATTTTGTACTGAATCAGATTAAAGCTTCATAAAACAATAAGTGTGAATTATTTTTTGATACTTAAAATCACATAAACCTTACCACTGGCTTTAGGATTTCCTATTTCAGCTAAATTATATACCCATTGTGTGTGAAAAGTATCAATTTTTGGATTTTAGTCTGATTTGTCTAAGGACTTTAATAGATAGTAAGTCGAAAGTAATAAATATCATCAAGATAAGTTCAGATTTGAAAGATTTCAATTGAAAAGAATTATATATTTTTTAAACTTTCTTCTGCCGTTTAACGTCATTGCATAATGTAAATTAATATCTTGTTTTCAAATTCAAGTAATCGTATTCACTTTCTGTGTTATATCTTTTTAAATCATTAAAATCGACTCATTTAATTTTCTTCTTTATTTTTCTACAAAACATAATTTTATTATATACTAGTCCGATATATTGGACTTAGATTGAAGTGTATCTAGTTTCCTAAATATTCTCAGCAAACTCTTTTATTTGACATCTATATAGTAAAAATATAAAAATTACTTGTCCGCCATCTTGGATATGTCGCCATGGTGACTGAATGACGTCACTAAGTTAACCATCTACATACTTTCATGGAAAGTGAATATGTATACAAAATACTCTAATAATGATACAAATGGTTCGTAAATGTTGCAAGTTTTATAAACGTTATAATCCCATACAACTACCGTAATTTCTCATAAACATGCATATTAAAACGCGGGAAATACTCTTAAATTTACCCCCAATAAACATTTTGCGGCCGACATATCCTCACAATTAAATAGTCTCAATAAAACGATAGCACGATACTCGTACGTATTGTGTACGCTTTAACAGAACTGTGTTATTGTTACAAATCATAACGGAATATTCGGTCAATAACAATGGAAATGTATCCTAGTTCTCCGTAACGTAAACAACTACATAATAAAACTTGGAAGTTTATTTGCCAGCGATATTAATTTGAACCTCCCGGTTTATCCCTCGAAACTTATTGATGAGTGCTGCGGCAAGATAAATTGAACCGTGTCATTGTTGGATAGAGTTCAAAATTAATCACCAACTTCCGTTGTTCATTTATTCGGTTACACGTCAGATGGCGCTATTAATGAGAGCTGCATCGTGACGTCACGGCTTCTGTTATTGGCCATTGTTTACCAAAAGATGCAGTCTCTGTACTGTTAAACTGAAATATTACAGGCATTGTGTTACAACTTTAAGAACTCCTCAGTGTTTAATAGGATTATATTTATTGTATGATATATTATGAAATTTACGTGCCGTTTTTTAAGGTGAAGATACATTTTTATTGAGATCTAAACGAATATAAGTATTATAATAGGGTGTTCAAATAATAATCATAAAAATACGCAAGCTACTGTTATAGAATGGACATAGCAATTAATCTGTAATAAAATACTTAGATAAATATCCATATATATATTTTTATATGTTCTTAGTTTTTATTAACAAAATATATATACATATAATATACATAACTAATATCCCGATGATAGCCACAATATAAAATATGTTACTAATTCATTAAGGTCCAAAACAACAACGATAATATTTTTTCACTCTTTTTATTTTAATGACAAGAGGATATTGAATAATATATAAAATCAGTACAATTATTAATAGATTTGAAAAAGGTTCAATTTATTCACAAAGTGTTGAACAAAATTTATAGGATGTTCAAAATTCTGAAAAGAAACGACTCAAACTCTAGCTGATAAACGCACAGGGAGATACGGAGGAACTTTCGCTTTGGAGAAGCAACAAATTATAAGGATTCCGCTTTAAATTCAACCAAATCGAATAGCAAATATAATTCGCAAACGATTCTCTCCTACAAATGAATATTATATTTGAAAATACCCACCAATATATACCATTGCTCAGTGTGTTCTGCGGTTAAATAATTTATTAAGGCAAAATTCACATACATATAATATTTGTTCTACCAAAATATGTATGTGTTATAATCATATATATAATATTAGCCAATCATACCTAAACAAACATTAAAGGGAACCTTACTTACATGTTTTCATATACATTAATTCAATGTAAATATACAAATCAATCGATCAATTTTGTTTCAGGCAACTGCTAGCACCGAATTTGAAGCAAACACAATATCTCGCTAACGGCGCTGAGAGTGAGGTCAGAACGGTGAGTATAAATAATATATTACTCTTTTATTATACTATATCAATTGTTTTTATGATAATATTATCGAAATTTACTTATACCAGTTAGAAACCAAAGCTCCTTCTTTACAATTAACCACAAATAATTAATGATTCTTTAATTAACAATAATTAATGAAGATCAAATGCTTATCTATAAACTTAGAATAAGTAAAGCCATGAAATAACACCAGTTAGAAAGGTAAATAATGACTTTTGTGAATGTCTATAACGTTGAACAAGTTTTAACTCTTCGGAGAAATTCTCATATTTGGTTACATACAGGTAATGTATGGGTGAATTGTAATTGAATTTTAGAGCCATTTAAAAAGGCACTTTCGTCTGCTTCCTCGGCAATGCGATTTATGTTATGTATCATTACTTTTTATTTTAAATGTATATATGGAAGCCTTTAATTAAAAATTCTCTACGTATTTATGTATTTCATTGTATTTAACCAACGTCATTTGTTAACCAACATTTTATCCGTGCTTAAGCTAATTATAAACGAGACTGTCGTTTGACATCATTTAAACTATGACAGAAATATTAAAATTACTTTCAGGTTAATATATTAAGAAACTTATTAGTTATCGGAATATAAAGTGTATGAAGTAGAATGAGTACAGTTAGACTGATAGATATAAAACGAATGCCATAAACTGCAAGGATAGGAGAAACCTAACGAATTGAAATGCCTGACTTTATTTGATTCAAACTCAAAGTTTAGTTTCAATTACAGTTTATACCAATTATGATACAGTCGGCATAGAGACACTTCCAACATGTTTAAAACCGTCCTTAACCAAAGTTATAATAGTTAAAATTTGTTGCCATAAATACTGTACGTACTGAGATATGAGTCAGGTGAAATTTTTAAAAATAAAATATCAATATCGTATCTGTATCCAGGAATTGAGATCTTGGATATTGAGGATTTGTCAAATCGAAGCGTTTCTATATGGCGGAGCTGGTGTAATGCGGAAAGGAACCACTTCCAGACAGATCGAAGCCGATTCACTTGATATCTATCTGCTATAAGTTGATCGTCTGAGAACAACTTTTAGTAGACTGAATTTTAACTTTCCTTTTTATCAAGACGCCTTTTTTTATAATATAAGATTTAGCTGGAAGCAAGTGGAAGGTTTTACTGGAAGCCAAAGATTTAAGTAACTTTAGAATGATATTCGGTAAGTGACAGGTAACATAGGCCAGACGCGAACGACCATCTGTCTGAGCAGAAGTTTTAATTGACCAATAGCAAGATCTTAAATTAAATCGACTCCCGGACTAAGTTTGTAAAATGATTTTAAAGTTTCCAGACTTTTATTGATATCATTCCCAAAAGCAATTAATCACTTTACTCGGAATTCATTTGACAGTTTATCGTAATATTTATATAAACATAACTTTGTAGGGGAGAATATTATTAATATTAAAGATTTTTAGCAACAAAAATATATTTTTTCTGTACATCACATTATATTTTGTGCATTTCATTGGATCTAAATGGACTATCTCTTAAAATTCATTTATAAATTCGTTTTTAAAAGATAACCTCATTTTAATTTATAATAAATTTTATTAATTATTTACAATAAATAAATAAATAAAAGTACAATAATTTTTGTAAAGAGTTTTATCATAGTATCATATATAAAGTTCAATCAAGGTAACAACTGTTAAATTTTAATTTATCGTTCTTCATTCACAAAGTTTATTCCATTGTAAATCTCAAGTGTACTGAATATTCTAGGCTCGTCTTCAAATTATATAATATGAATCTTCTCAAAGTTCACTTGTATATATTAATTTAATTAGTAACATAAGTAATTAACGATAATAGCGATGTTTAATAATATAAATAAATACTGGAAGCCGTCATGGAATCAGCACAGCTCAACGAATTTGATTAAAAGCCGGTACAAAGTGGCGAGTAATTACTGTCGCGGACTACTGGAGCGTAATGGTTACTTCAATAAAAGACTCCGGACCCATCACCCCTGAAGCGTTACGTTGTCGCATATTTTTTAAATGCTTCTCATAACTAAATAGAATAAAAAAAACTTAATAGAAAATTTTACTCAACACTAAAGTTCTCTTTAAAAAGGCAGCATTTTATTTTATATTATATTTTTAAATACAAAGCCATAACAAAAGAAACAAAGGGATACTTTAACGAGAATTTTATCATCGAATAGATCGATCGTATCGTATAACCAATTAGAACAGCTAGTAAAAAATATTTAGCACGTCTAAATTAAAGACTAAACTTGAAATATTTATAAATCAACAACTAAATGAGATAAATCGCGAATAATGAATATTTATGTATCTAATGGTCAGATGTCGACTATATATACATATATACAAGTACATGGAAATATTCTGTATCTACATGTTCTACAAATGTTAATTCTAAAAGGATTGTGGTTTAATTTAAAACAAACTACAATTTAGATATATTTGGAAATAATATTATAGAGTTAACGCAATTGAAAATGTGAATTAGTCCAAATACGAATTTACTAATTTAATCAAGAGTTAATAGTAATATTACAAATGGGTGCTATTACGAAAACTGTAGCTAAACGATCGACATATAATATTCCAAAAATCCCTTACATCAACGGAAAAAACAAGCATCGAACAGTTTTCCTGAACTTGGGTCAATTTCCGTGAAGCTCTCAACGAGGGATTAGATCAATAGAACGTATGTGACACGAGTTACTTGCTAACTCTTTGGATACGTGGAAGCATTCTGGACATTTAGAAACTTTTAATGAAGATGGGATTTTAATTATAGATTAGTTAAACTTGACACTTCATACAGTAATAATGAAACTGCGTTCATGTGAAGAAGAATGAATACTCATGTGTTTATGACTGGTTTAGAGAATCTAGACGACGTTGAAGTCCAAAAACGTTAGTTGTCGAAACGCTAAACATCTTTTCAGTGACGCAGCGGAGACGAGATCGAAATAAATTGCTTCCATCCCAGGGATAAAGAGGTCCGGGGTCCGGGGGAGGGGTTGGGGGGGATTCAAATTGGATTGAAGGAAGTTTAGATTGGATCGAATTTCCTTGCCACCTTGTTTAATTTAAGGGGACTGATCGTGTATGGGCGAAAAATTGGTAGCATCGGTTTTTTTCATCAATAGTTCGCCTCGTTGGAAATAATTGGAAACTTAATGGAACAATTTCTTAGTAAATGTGTATGGTGTTGGATGTAATGAGTTTTAGCTGGAATGCGAATTTTTTTGATTGAATTTTTTAAGAAACGTATTGAAGTCGTAACAAACAAGGTCACCCAGTTATTTAAGGTTTCGTATTTAATATAGCAACAGATTAACCTTACAAGTACAGGTTGTTTATGTACGTACAGAATTCAAAGGAGGTAAGAAAATGAAGAGCAATGTTCCATATTTCATGCTCGGGGATGTCGAGGAAAAACTTGTATATCTTTATTGTACACAACATTGAAAAATTATCATCGTGTTTCAAAAAACGTTTTTATTCATGAATGTTAAGTTTTTCTGTCGTCATTAACGAAATCTAAAGAAAAATTATGAAGAGAAATTTTATTCTAGAAAGCATTTTAGAGGCATTATCACAATATTTTTTTCTGTAACGTTTCAGGCCATTCTTCATAATTATAACCTTTTTATATCTATTCAGAGAATTAATTACAAAAATTACGTTAACAAATAAAATTTATACGAATATATTTTTAATTTTATGTTTTTTCAACTCCTCTATTTGGATAATAATTTCTTTGATGAATGATCAAACACCACGTTTTCATTTAAATGTCTTTATTCTTAATTTTAATCTAAAATAAAAGTTTTGTTACAGTTTAATGCCCTGTTATTATGAAAAAAAAATATACTTCTTTTATTAGTTCTGATGTCTAAGATCTTTCATCGGTAACGTTTCAGACTAATTAATTGCTAACTCCAATCCTAATAAAGATGACGACGCCCTGTCACGTTTTTCATTAACACCTGTTTGTTCAAATCAACCATCGTGGGGAGACAATTATTGAAAATTTAAACTTGTTTATTTATTAATAAGTCGACAAATTTTATTTCGTGGTACCGGCGAAGCCATGACGCCAGCACTTCAGTATGCGAGGGCTTATTAAAAATATTACATTACAGTACAATATTAAATTCATCTCTGAAATACAAAACTCAATACATTTCCAGCACAATAACAGAAGCTTTTCATTATATGCCATTCTTTCGTGCTCATGAATTCATAATAAAATATAAGAGACAAAAAAGAATCAGTTTTCCGAGTCCTTTCAAAGGTAACGAACGAACGAATGAATGAAGCCTTTTCGGTTTACGGGACCTTCTTCATTCACAGCGACGAAAAACTCAGCCTAATTATGAACAAAACTTTAGGGATCAAGTCCCCAAATTAGCGAGTCTTCTCGTCTCCTAAATTTGTAACAAATAGTTTTCCGTCCAAGGTTTAGGAGGACTTTCGAATATTTCCTTATCATACATTTCAATGGACATCTTAAAGGCTTTATTTATATGCATGAAAATAATATTCATCTATACTTATCGTACTCCATACAATGAGAACTAAATCACTATTAATTTTAAATATATATAACTCAATGTAATTTTCGAGTCTACCTTACTATAAACGTTGATTCTCTTTTCTCATGGCGTAATCTGTGGTGATTTTCTCGTCTGCACGACAATATTTTTTCTCGTAAATTAATTTCCCGCAGTCTCATTCTCGACTAAGAAAAAAATTATGAAATAAATTTTTAATAGGCCTATTAAATCTCAACTGTCCATTATTCAGTGACCGCAATAGATTTACAGTTTTATTTTTATGGAATTAGAGTTCAATTCCGCAACACAGAGTGACTGTTAGCAGTTTGAAATAATGTGATTGTTATAATTCACTGTTGATTGTTTTTTTCGCAGGAGATCGAACATTGCTACTATCACGGCACAGTCAAGGACTATCCCGGAGCGTCAGCCGCCTTCCACACTTGTAACGGTGTGTCGGGTGTCATTCATATTGGAAACGAAACCTTCGTCATACATCCCTTCTACGGCGGCGATCTATCGGTTAGTCAGTAATATGTGAGAACTAGAAAAGAAACAAAAAAATTTAAACATGATTGAATTGAATGAAATATCCGTAAAAATAATTACTATCAAAATTTTAATTTAGAACTGTTTCTTTTCTTATATGACAACATTATGTCTGGATATTTTTCGATCTCTCTGTTAGAATAGTCATCGTATTCTTTTGATTTCTACTGCTTCCTCTTTCCTGGATGTAAGTGGATCCTTGTTGAAGTATGTTCGGACCAGCTGTTGTGGGAACATTACTATTTAGTTTCTTATTAACAAAGCTCAACGTGCTATGCAGACTATTCCAAATAGTAATCTCTTTAAAACTATGGTTTATTTAGTTTAACTGACTTCTAAAAATTTCTAACTACTGCATTTATATCAAACGCTAAGTTTTATAAGAAAACGAATGAAATTACAATTCTTTTTTATTATTAATCTATGTGTATTGCTACATAAAAATAGCACAAGTAGTACAAACAGGAGAAAATAATCAATAGCACTAAATTACTTCCTAATTAATGCAAAATCTACACATTCTAATTATAATGACACATCAAAGTATCACATGATTGATCACACTAGCTTACAAATTCTATTTAAACAAAATAATCATAATATTTTAGAGCATTTTAATCGCATATATCTATAGATATAGATGACCTCATTGACCTCATGTTTATCTAGCATATTATCAACCAAATTTCCATTCCAATAACAAATTAAATCTATTCACTTCGATGTCTAATATGTAGTTCAAATTGAAAACAGAATTATAATTTTACCTTCCTATTAATTTACGATCTAACGAATTTCGGTACAAAAATTTCGTATGCTTAATAAATCTAAGTTAAGGTTTCAACTTCAAAAACCGTTTAGCGTAATTTAACTCAAAAAGAAAACGCTACATAAATCACTAACTGAGATTACGTTCCATAATTAAGTTGATAATCGTAAATTGTTTTCGTGATCTCGTAAAACTTCTAAATTTATGTTTTTTTGTGTACACATTGTTTATTTAGCAATAAAATACTTCAGTTAAAAATTGCATCTTAATATATGAAATCTAAGTTTATATGAGAAACTAATATTTATATGAAAATATATTTATACTTAATACTAATTTATGTCACCATTCCCGGCGGATCATGACTTATAATTTGATACTATATCAACAATATTAAATTTTATTTCATCTAATTTATTATCTTAAGAATATTTACATTATTCTATAAATAGGTAAATACAATGTTCAAATCACTATTTTAATATTGATTAGAAATATATTATACATTTTGGTATTACTACGCGTATTTTATTACTTTTAAAAACTACGTACACTCGTCGTTTCGGTTACTTTGTAGCAACCGTGATAACGGGTAGACAATATATAGACAGATAAATGTTTTCTTAAAGTTTAATATCATATCCGTGGACATTATTAAGAATAATCTACACTATCTAATGAATTGTGAATCTTCGTTCCGATTTATTTTATGCATATTGAACCCAGGTAAAAAGGGCTGTAAATCCTTAAGCTTTGAGCTAGTAGCTCTATAACTTGCTATTGTTTTACAACAAAACTTGATCATAGTAGTTTTCATGACTTTATACAGCCTCCTGCAATATACGATAGACGTTCACTTATAAACTACAGCAAGATAATATAAATATCAAAATAGTAATACTAATACTTATGACAGTATAATAATGAATAAAAACATGTCTAAATCTATTATTTTCTAGTTTACTCGACCTTCCAATTACTTTTAAGTAACCGTGATACACGACGTAAAAATGTCTATGACTTCGCCTTTTTTTCTTTTTCCGATAATTTCTTAATTTGGTCATATAATGCGTATCTGTGTCTTGAGATCTGGTAGAGTAATGGAAATGACATAACTTTGATAATTATTAGCCGTCTCGTTTATTAATATAAGAAGATTCCTTTCATTTCAATAATCTAAATTAATCTTAGTATACATAAGACGACGCGAAGGACTGTGGTTTATCAAAATGGGTGTAGGGCTGTATTTCCTCTTGTCATCAAGTGATCACGGTTACTCGGCAGTAATCAAAATATATAAAATGTCGAGAAGTAATTTTGATTAAAAAAACATGTTTTTATACGTACAAATAATAATTTCGTCCGTCCAAACTCATTGGGTACACCTTTCAATTAAGAGATTCAATTATTTTGCCATTAATATAGCTTTAATATTATTACATGTAGTAATTACAACGATGGACGCTGAATTCAATGTTTCAATTACTTAACCCGCGTGCAGTCACTTCGGATTATATTTTTATTCACGGCTCGGATTATTTTATATTTATTGCGATGCATTTAAACCTTAATTATAATTGTTAAAACAAACATTGTTACTTTAATGATTGTTGACTGTAAAAAGAAATTTATAGCGAAAGATACTTATCGAAAAATAATTATTCAGTAAACACCATGAATTATTCTTTAAGTAATAAATAAATAGATGGAATAAAAATATATTATTTGGGAACTGATATATAGAATCAATATGTATGGAGTATGATAATAACTTGCAGCGTCAAGTTTGTTAGCCATAACTTTTAAGTTTTTCGTCGATAAAGTATGGTTGTCGATAAAAGAGAACTTGCAAGTAAGTTGGATCATACGGAATAATAATATGGGTGGTGGATATATAGATGGATACAGTGCTACTTATGGATGGATAAAATTTACAAATCATCAAATTCCATGTCTGTCCATGTTATGTAAAAAACAACCAAATATTTCATAACGTTTTATAGTGATTATTGAAGGAACAGACTATAAGGGTACAATTACACTATACGTCTTTCTAAAATTTATTATTTGAAAAAAAAACGTTAAAAAATACTTAGATAGTTATGATGCACGACTTTTCTTGTCTTTTTACACAAAGCTTTGAAGTCTTTGTTAAATTCCTCAAGTTAAATTTCTTGCTCTAGGAGTCTCCAACAAGAAATATGTTGTCAAAGTTTCTAATAATTCGACATCTGTTATCGCTATAAACTATTTGCAATATATGTATGTACAAAAAGCATCCAAATTTAATAGAAAATGTATTTAATGTACATAACACTAATGCCAGAAAAATTAAATTAAAAAGTATAAAATACACTGGGCTCTTATGGGAATCTATCATATGAATTTTCAAACACATTTTTTACCAGAATTTTAGTGGAAACGATAAGGAAAACCATGTAACTGTTGGTGTTGCGTCAACAAAGAAAACTCATACTAGGGATACTGAGAATAATGATGGTTGTCACTGCAGACTGTTCGTCCGTCGTTGACGTAGGATGGAGTCGTGCAGACATGCGGCTTATGTATACGTCTGGTATTATAGAATAATCGCGACTTTCGCAAATTTACGAGTACTTCTTTTCTATTTTCTACTAATATTAAAAAAATATAATGTAAGCGTGAAAGATTTAATAAAGCTAATATAAGATATTGAGCTAAGCAGAGGTTCGACTATAAATTATTTTAAAACCACTTTTTAAGAGAGTTGATTTTGAAAATTGTATCAAATCACACGTCTGTTCTGTTGTATGTGTGTAATTTCTATTCCATGTATATGTCACAGCGACGGGCATTTGTCAAGTGCGAGATAATCCTAGACCCTTATCGCGGTGACCCGCTGCATAAATTTACTGACCTCCGAGCCATGGATTTGTGGATGAAATGAGGGGAATGCTGTTTTTTAAAGCTTTATGCCAGCTCAGCCAGTGATAGAGTGTTTTATCTGTTTATTTATAACGCAAGGACAAGTCGGATCTCAGTCTTTTAGCAAGTCGATACAGTCGAAAGTATTACAATAGTTTTAACTTCTATCGAATTTTTCTTTCAAACAATCCAAACTGAAACTATAGAAGCAATAAAAAGACAAAAATCAAATAAAACAAAGCTCGAATAGTATTACGGTCCCCGAATTATTTAGTAGTCAGGAACTCATTAGGTTCGCTTGATTACAGCTGATTACAGCCGATTACTTGTAATTATGCGCGGAGTGAATTGTAATTTCGCCTGAGCTCGCGCGGGTGCGTTCATTGGATTACGGTATTATTAAAATGCAAAATTGATTTTTGACTGCTGATGATATTGCATTAAAAATATATTATATTATATTGTAATATTGTCTAAGTCTCGAGTTATTCAACTGTTTTATAATTATATATAGCTCTTTTATCTTATTTTCTGGTATAAATTATTTAAATGAATTTTAATTCGTTCCACTCTGAGGATCGGGACGCTGGAGATTTATTTGCTCCCTATTTATAAACAAAAGAGGATAAATTCATTTCACGAAGCACTTGAACCGAGAACGTTTTCTTTTAAAGTAGGGAATATTATATTTAATAAGATTTCTGAAACACTCTCGTGATATTATAAATTTCGTTTACATTCTAATTTATGTTTTGAGATTCTGAATCACAGAAATGAAACATTCAGATTCAAATTTATGACGAATTTTAATGAACTTCGTAGTTTGAGGGATTTTTTTTTGATATATTATTTGGTAATGCAGTTGTTGAATGTGGCAATTATAATAGAAACAAATAAAAATGTTATGAGATCTAAGACTTTTGGGAGTATTGTTTTAAATGAAACTAATATTTTCCGGATTACTGCGCGTATTTTATTATTGTAAAAATCGTAATCACGGTTGACAAAAAAAAACTGAAACGTCGGGAGTATGTTGTTTGTAAATAAAAAAATACGCCTAGTAATCCGAAAAATATTCGTATCGTTTAAATAAAAATATTTTAGTAGAACGGAAGGAGATATTATTATTTGAAACAAAGAATATAATTCATCAAAATGTATTTAAATAGTCGGAATTGGAAAATAACTTGCTAAACAATAAAAATATATCGATTAACCAATTTTAATGTAAGCACATATAAAGTAACAAAAAGATTCACGACTTGTAAGTTTTTAAAGTGATACAAAAAACTAAGTGTAGCATCTGCTACGC